GAAACACATCCTAAATCAGAACGATATAAACACATGTAGTGTGCAGTGGTACAGTATCTTTGGGATTCCATGGTGTTTCTAGTCTGGTCTGAATTCATGGCTTTCAGTAGAGATATTAAGAGTCAAGTTCTGCCAGGTATTTAGACAGGTAAGGTGTGAGTGCAGCATTTCATGTTCAAAATGTACGAAGGCCAGACATATTTTTTAGTCCTCAAGCTCAGAGAAGTGGAAAGGTTGTGTCATATCTACTTCTTGGTTGCATGGCATTCTAAAAGGAATAGGGGGAAGATGTCTTGCCCTCTGTTGTCCTGGAGACTGGAATTGCACAGCAGTGGAAATAAACTGAACTCTACAGAGTTTAGACCTAGGTTGTGAATAGTTCAGAGTAAGGGCAGACTGAATCCCAAGAATGTACCTTCACCTAGCATGCTGTCAGATTCAGCAAGCTCTTGCTTTCAGTTATGTATGAATCTGATAATAAATTCTTTGTTTCTCATTTGTGCATCAACTGGACCAGTTTTTAATTGAAATTCCTTAGCTCCAACTGTAAACTGATCTTCCACACCCTGACTGACATGAACTGGGCAAAATCTTCTGGGATTTTTTAAAGCTAGCCTTTAGATTGTTCTGATACCTGGGGAAACCAGGATATTTTCTTGCTATTACTGTCTCACTAGTTTTGAGAATTAATTTCAAGACTCATTATTAAACCAAAGTAAATTCACTTAAAATATATTTTACTACTATGATAAGTTTTTATATGATTCCAGCTTTCCTTTTGGCTTAATAAACAAATCTGTTAGAAAGAGTTAAACCAGGTGGATTAATAAAATAGCTGGAAAAGACCTGGTTTAGGAAATAAGTCATATCTGTCATTTTGCTCCTTCGCCGTTGCTTTCTTTTGTCAGCAGTTTTAACAAATCAACAACTACAAAAGAGTTTTTAAAAGTTGACTATCTTTCTACCATAAATGCTAGTCAGCCTGGGTGTGGGAGTACTTTTTAAGAGAAGAGAACAAAGATAGATTTGCATTCTTGAGGTTATCTACTGTTTGACAGAAATACTTTCCCTTTTAATCCTTTTGAAGTTGCTTCTGCCATCCCCATCATACTGTATGCTCTCCTGTGGTTATTTACAAGGAACACACTCTAAATTACACTTGGATATACCAAATTTAATACTATCATATGATACAGGTAATCAATGGAGAGTTCTTTCATTTTCTGTCCTGTGTCTTTATGTATATGTGTACATATACATATACACACTGTAGATGATTTATTAAACATAAATATATGAATATCATACCAGCTTGCAGTAAAGCAATTCTAAGAGAAACTTTTTCTGTGCAGTGACTTAATTTTCTCCTCAGTCTTCATCCCGTTTAACATATGGGACAGAACAGTACAGGATTCCTTTTAACAGGAGCCAAATCCTGCTACCATAGTTATTAATAGTGAAACATCCTTCAACTTCCATCAAAATAGTGGTGCCATACCCCAGATACTCATAGATTGTTAGGGGCTGGAAGGAACCTTGTAGATCATCGGATACAGTCCCCCCACAGTAGGCAGGAAAAGCGAGGTGACTGTCCAGTCTCCTTTTGAAGATTTCCAGGTTAGATGACTGCAGCACCACTGGAGGAAGTAATCACAGTGTGTTGGAGTAGACTTAATTACCGTGCTTCAGAAGACACCAGCATCTCATGTATTGTTCAATGAGCTTTAGTTAAAGCCCCCCCACTGCCGTTTTTCAGCACAGTGACACTGGTACACAGGACACTCTGGGTGCTTTAATTAAAGCAGCTCTTGGAGCCGCTCTGATTAAAGGGCTTCCCTCCTCCCTCCCTGCCACTCCAAGAACACGTGTATAAAACCCCTTGGAGACTAGATGGTTCAAAGAGGCATGAACTTCTGTAGGCAACAACCTTCTTTGTTAGATGTAAGGCCCTAGATTGGAATTCACATGTGTAGGATGCCAGTTACAAACTCAACTCTACTCTTAGATATACCCATAAGCCCTTATTTTGAATTTGGTCTGTTAAAATTTAAGACCGCATCCATGTGTAATCAATTAACACAACCTTCTAGCAGTCTACCTGGGCTAGAGGATCCATAAATATATCTAAGACCAGGCTTCACAAAATGGAAAACATGGATCTAGCCCTCAGCCTGAGCAATGAAAATGTAATAGATGTCACTTACACCTTCCATTACTATTTCTAGTAGACCAATACTTTTTAGTCTGCTCTAGTTCTACCGGTTGATTTTGTTAATGGCTTTTTGATGATTTTATCTGAATATCTTCTGGTCCAGGAGCCTTCTGCTCTTCCTCATTAGGGTCATTTATTTATCCTGTTCCGTCCTTCTGTCACTGTTTTGTCACCATAAATGTATCTAAAGCAAAAGCAGCTTTCATGTAGCAAGTGGGTTAGGAGGGGATTACTTCTGTCTATAGAAAAGGAACGTGAGCTAGAGTATGGTGCTGGTCTCATTATCAATCTTTATCATAAATTAGTTTAAATATATAAAGTCCAGCTCTGTTCTTTACCATAGTACAAGAGAATCAAAAACACAACATCTCAAGTTAAAGCTGTAAATGAAATGTAGTTTGTGTACCTTTAAATTATGTTGCCTCCCAGTGTATAATAACACTGGATGATGAGGTCAAGCTTGAAATCATGATTAAATGTCAACTCTGCTAAATCCAGTAAAAATGAAGTATTGGAGGACACAATTTCTTAGATAGGAACAAGATACATACTCTTGAGTAAAACCCACGGAGGAAGGAAAGAGGACTTGAAGTCTTGGTTGCTCACCTTGCAGTGTTTCTGCCAAATACTTCATTCAGAAGAAAGGTTTGTAGTCTCTTCCGTTCAATTTAGGCTGGTAAATGATGCTTATGATTATGGTGTCTTAACCTGAGGATGTACATGGGAAGTAAGATTCAATCCCAAGGAGTAAGGACTGCTTGACTGTCTGAATTCCCTTCTCCCCTCAATGGCCATCTCTAAATACATTATCCAAAATTCTTACATCCGTTGTTGGACCCCCGAATTCCTGAATTTGTTTCCTAAACTTGCATCCTTAAAAAAAGGAGGGGGGGGGGGCAGCAAACTAGAAATTAACAACCACGGTCGAAAAAAGTGAGGGGAAAGTCAGCTTTGGATGTAAAACTAAGATTGCCTCCAAAATGTTTTCTATAACAGATGATTTCACCTAAATTCCTAACCTGCACAGTAACAATTTGTGTTTTGTTACTCAAACTGAAGTTTAGCCATGTTCCTAAATTATGCTACAGCTCAGGACTTTGCAACATTGCACAAAAATTCAGGAATACAATTAAAAGATGATTTAATCCACCTACACTGGCAAAGGTCAACTGCAAATTAACTAATTTGGAAAACCGGCCTGGGTCCCCCCCCCATATAGCTGTTTTTATAGTGTGGGCAGAACCAACTTTTGTGACTCAACTATCCATGTTTTTTTTAATTAAATCACTTCCTAAAGGAAAGATGTAGCAAAAGTGTCTTAAAATATTAAATAGAAGATGTTTGGGGCTTTTCTAGGAAAAGTTTTATTTTTTTCTTTAAGAATCTATCCAAAGAAAATATAAAAACACTATGTTATTTTTTTGTGAAGCTGTCTTTAGAACACTTAAATCTTTCTTTTGGCAGTCACAAGTTCACAAGCCTTTCCATTTCTGTTTGTTGGGAAAGGTATATCAACAGTTCTTACATGAAATAGTTTGGCTTTCAACAATCAAAAGTGTGTTTTAAATGAATTTAAATAAATAGTATTATGTTGTTGATGATATCCTTCATGTACATATGTATGGGCTCTACTTTTTTTACTGTTTTTTAGGGTATGGTGGGAACAGCTGCCAGCAAAATAGACTGATGTCCCTGACTTCAGACAAAACAGTTGGCACAATTGTTTTCATTTATTCTGTGAGGAGCCAGAAATAATATACATGTATATTCTTTTGAAGTGGAAAGGTTTTCTTCATTTTTCTAAGCTTTACCCAAAAAATGTTTACTCACAGTATGTTTCATAAACTAAGTTGGACAACTTTTTAGTAATTTTTATTTCTTTTGCTACTGTGGAAGTATAAACATGAGATGTTCCATTTTGAGGAATCAGTATTGTTTTTGCATGACAAGTTGGTGACAAAAGTATGCATGAGAAGTGTTCATAGATGCATCCCAGCATACTTACAAGTGCTAATATGCTTAGAAATACAAGTAATATATTTACAAGTACACAATACAAACCATAAAAATACAGCTTAAATTATTTCAAACTAGGATAAATGTTTATTGTTTCTTTTGATAACTTTGAATTTTTAATGAAACGTTTGGCTTCAAATCCAGATGAGGGACCAAAAGCAATTATGGTGTAAAATCCACTTATATTATTTACATAAAGCATGAACTTGGCCTGAGCAGTTTAATTTAAAATTAATGAATGCCCAGTTGCTGTTATAAAATAATAAAATAGAAGTTATACACTAAACAAAAGAAAAAAAATGCCTGTTTTCCTTGTTGCCTATAAGAACTCAAGTGTAGTAGTATTTTACTCTATTGATTTTTATTAGCCCTTTTCCCTGATTTAACCTTTAAGTAGTAAATAGTTGACAGCAAAAATTAATCTATAATATGTAAATCAATGTGCAATAATAGTGCCAAGAAACTATGAAAAAATGGGTCCAGGCAGCTGCGTCACAGGGTTTGATCACTTCAGGCTGGGGTGCCAGGAGATTTGAGACAGATGTTTTCAGACATGCCGCATGCCTAAAACATTTCCAGGGGTCGAGCTACGAATAGTGACTTAATAAGTGCAGAAACAGGAAAAGTATGCAGGAGGACACAAGAGTTTATTCACCCCTAGGTGCACAGCCAGCCTCTTTACATTACATCTGTCTGTCAGGGTTGGCTATTTAAGCTGTCATGCCCTTGGTATTGCTCTTTGTCTGACTGTGAATAAAGTGCAGCATTGTGATTACTAATCCCACTCCAGTGACTTGACTTTAAATGTGGTTTTGGAGTGTATCCCGGAGTTCTGTTTGCTAGGCTTCCTACTCCTGTTTCAGAGACACCACTGGAGATCGATGAGAGAGAGCGCTGCAGGCTGCCCTCCTTCTGTAGACCTGTTGTTTTTTTTTCTTCTTTTTAACATCTGAAGGAAATCAATGGATACCAACATGATCTGTTTATTTTTCTTTTTTTCTTTGCCTACACTTGCAGTGGGGAATCACACTGGGCGCATCAAGGTGGTCTTTACACCCAGCATCTGTAAAGTGACTTGTACCAAGGGCAATTGTCAGAACAACTGTGAGAAGGGAAATACCACCACCCTCATTAGTGAAAATGGTCACGCTGCTGACACTCTGACAGCCACTAACTTCCGAGTAGGTAAGTATCCTTAAATTTGTCCTTAGTTGTCCTCTCTGAACTAACAGGAAGATTTTTAGTTATGAATACCAGTTGTGTTTCTGTTACTTTTTGTTTGGAAAAGCTGTGCACAAGTAGCAACAACTGTGTGTCAAACAAGCTTTTGGTATCCCTCTGAAATGTTCTTGGCAATTCCTCTGATGCCTTGAAGAAAAATATAGCTGCAATTATAATCTAAAGTTTTTGCTGCAAGATTGCAGTATACTGGACTGTATAATAGCTTTTGGTGAAAAAAAATCATCGCACAAAGCTTGCCTTGAGAAATACAGAAAGAATGTCCAGATTCCAAGATAAGTTTGTTTCTTTTATTTATCTAAAACACACTAAATGAATATGAAATTTAGTTTGACTTAGTGAAATGATCCTGAAAAACACCATCTGAGAATTGCTGTAGTCTGCATTTCAACTGCAGAAATAAGAGGCCAGTTTACAACTCTTGCCCTGTTAGTGCTGTAAATGAAGCAGATTTTTATGTATCAAGTATCTTAACAGGAGATTGATATTTTAGGAATTGAGTTAAAATTCAGACATATGGTAATTTCTCTGTCAGAAACAGTTATTTTACCATTAATGTCAGATTTTTTTTCACTTATTGAATAGAAGTATTTACAGTATTCTAGTCTGTAATCTAAAACTGTTAATTTATTTTGAAGCAACTCATTACTGGTGAGAAAATTGTTTTACATTTTTTAACTGCACTAAATTGTATGAAGATAGTAGTAACTATTGAACAAGTATCATATTTCTGTAAACTGAGAGATGTGGATATGTACAGACAGGTATAGCATATGTATTTTAAACTCATTCCACAAAACCATTTTCTTGCTACTGTTTAGATAATATTTTTTAACTAAGCAACTTTTTTTTTTAGAAATTATTTTGCTAAAGTACACTCAAAGAATCATAGGTAGTAGAACCATAATATCAAGCTGTGCTAATGCTGGCCAATGCCATGGTTTTTAAAGTGCATTTAATTTTAGTCCCTGTAGAAAATAATCTGTTCCAAATTCTTCTTTCATCCAGACAGAAGATATAAAATACAGAGCAGTCACTTAAAAAATCTGTTACTGGACTGTCAGGCTGGAAATCTAGGCATATTCACTGAGGGTACACAGTTTAATATAACTTACTTTTTCTTCAGGAAAAGAAAAAGTGTTGTAAAAGAGGATTGTAACACAAATTTAATTGTCACGTGTGGCTATTTTAAAGCATTTTTAAAAGGATTTTATGAGCGAATGCTAAATTAAATACTTTTTAATTAGCATTTCTTATGATGTGGAGTTTTATTAATTCCTGGCAATTGCCATGGTTAAACAAGCTTATTTTTATGTGCTTTGACCGACTGCCATGAAAGATATTTTTCCTTATTTGACCTAATTTTTGACAGAATGGATGAAACATTGAGGATGGGCAGTAACCTAGGTATTTGCTGTGTAAGGCTGTTCTACAATCTGATCTCTTCACAAATATTTGAAAACTCAGGGGGAGAGAGAGAGAGAGAGAGAAAGAGAAAGGAAATCAACTTGTTAAAACATGTAACGTACCCTTCTTCCTGGCCTCAGGTCACATAGTTTTTGATTCAGCATGTAACAGACTTGTTAAAAATACTCAACAAAAGCTGTACGTGATAATATTCAGTGGAAAAAAAGAGGAGCATTATGTTTATAAATGCATATGGACAAGTGAGTTCATAAGTCTACATACCTACCCACCTACCTACATACGTACATACATACCTGTAAGTACCACAATACTTTTTCTGCTTTACGTAATTCTGTTATAGTTTTTACTTGAAACAAAAATCTCTCACTTATTCTAAGAAAATAAGAAGAATGATCTGAACAGTATTTTTAAGAATCTAGTTAACTTCAGTTACAACTATGAATATCCTATGAATTTTAACTATTTCTTAAGTTTAAGACAGAACCAAACCACTGCATCTGTAGTTCCAGTCCCCTTAGCAGCCTCTAACTTTTAGGGACATCTTAACCAAATCAGGCAGGTGTTTAAAGCACGTGCTGTTTTAATAGGTTGATACTGTTCTGTTGCTCGTCAGGTATCTGATATTAAGTTAGACCTGTCCTGATCAAGACATGTTCCTAATGTTCAAACTATGGGTAATCTGAACTTTGACAGATCTCATTTTTCATTTTGCTTTTGCTGTATTTTATTTGTGCTGCTGACTGAAAAGACCTGTTCTGATAATGTTTACTTGCTGCGTATTTTCACCATTTGCCATTTATAACGTGCAGTCATGGAACAGCATAGTTAGGCCAAGGAATATATGTTTTTAGGGGTTTTTAAACATTTTTTTTTATAAGTTAGCAAGAAGCACCTACTCTACCTAATTATCATGCCCTGCTTAAACTCATGCTTATTCCTAATAATAGATATCTATTACAGGTAAAAAGTAGGAAAGACATTTTAGGTCTAGGCTAAGTGCAGTCATTATAATAATAGCAGTAAAAAATGCATTTTTGTACACAAGGGTAAGTTGTCTGATGGGAGCTTGAAATTAACAATTGAATTGTGGGATTTTGGATGCACTTTTATTGTTCGTAATGAACAAACTAAAGTTTTATATGTATTTTTCAACTTTATGCTTAAGAATTGCTGTACTGCAACAGACCAATGGTCCATCTAGCTGAGTATTCTGTCTTTGGCAGTGGCAAGTAGTAGATGCTTTAAAGGGAGAGTTTACCATATTTTCTCACATAGTACATGCCCCTCAAATAAGACATGCACCTTTTTTGGGTGGCAGAATATAGAAGAAAAGGTTTTTCCAAAGTCATGGCCTAGAGCTGGCTTTTTCATGGAGAGGCCATGTTGCAAAATGGCAGTTAGCTTTTCTCAGCCGCCGACTGTGAAGGCCTTCATGCTGGACGCCACCCCTTCTGCTTGTTTGTTGAGAGAGAGGCTGGCAGACATTTTGCAACACTGTGTCTTCATGCTTCTACCCCACTTTCTTTATATTCTGGTGAAGAAAATCAGCTCCCCCCACTTAAGTCCCATACTCCAATTTTGAAAGTCTGTTTTTTGGGGGAAATGTTCATGTGGTATATAAGTAAACGTGGTAGGTAAAGGCATAGCTAGTGTAATCTGTCCCCTATCATGCCCTCCTTGGCATCAGTTGTGATTAGTTTAGGGTTATGAGGGAATACATCTCTGACTGTTCTATTTAATAGCTATCAGTGGACCTGATCTTCATGAATTTTTCTAATCCTTTTTTTAACCTAGTAATATTGTCTACCTCTACAAACTCCTCGGGCAATGTGCTGCAAGTTAATTACCTACAGGGCATGTCTACACTTGCCTTAATGCACTAGAATTATGGTGCAATAAGTTTAGTACTGTGCGGGTCAGGAGCGGTCTGAGGCCCTCGGGGGTGCGCGGCGGGCTGTGGCCAGCAGCCCTGGCACGCAGGTTGGGGAATGCAGGCCGGCAGACTAGAATTAGGCACGGACGCTTAGCAGTTGATTAAAGATTATTTTACTTACACCGTAGATGGTCGCGGTGCAGGCAGGAAAACTTGCTTGAGTTGCAGTTACAGATAGGAAAGAAGAGCGGACAAGAGTTCTAATCTCGCGAACTCTAGCCCAATCCGGCTGAAGGCTCTAAAACCACGAGCCCGTCGTGTCAACCAAAGAAAACAACTCGGGGAAGAGCTCTGGATACGCTCACACGAAGTTTGCTAGGCTCCGTGGAACTTGCGCGCAGGGAAGGGGTTCGTCGAGGGATCGTTCGGCGACGGGGAGAGGCCAGAGGTTGATCAGACCCCTATAGCCTTCTTAAGGTACCCGCTGGATCCATTAGGCTCCGCAGCGCTTAGAGTTCTTCACGAGACGTGAAGTCCTCCTCCTCCA